TATATATATATATATATATACACACGTGTATGTATAATTACAATTGTTGAATAATACTATTCTGTTTTTCATTCCTGCCGCGATCACTTTATTAAAATAAAAATATATTCTACAGTTCAAACTATTTGGGTCAGTGAGATGTTTTTATGTCTTATAAAGAAGTCTTTTAAGTTCCCCAATACGGCATTTATTTGAGCAGAAATACAGTAAAAAAAGTAAATACTAGATAAAAAAAGTAATACTGTGAAATATTTGAAAATTAAATGAATAGCTTTTAATATATTTTAATGTGATTTATCCAGCAAATCTGAATTTTTCACTGTCAGTTTTTCAAGTCTTCAGTGTTACCATTCTTCACAAATCCGTCTAATATGCTGATTTGATGCTTAAGAAACATTATTAGCATCAATATTTAAAACAGTTGTGCTGCTTCATAATTATGTGGAAATCATGATACATTTGTTTCCAGTGTTTATTTGAAATGGAACAGCATTTATTTGAAATAGATAACATTAACATTATAAATATACTGTCATTATAAATTCTATTTACTGTAATATTTCATCAATTTAATGCATCCTTGCTGAATAAAAGTTCCTGAAAATTTCTTTAAAACTTTTTGAAGTGTGCGTAATACTATGAAATATTTCTCTCTCTGTCTGTAGGAGGTGTTGGACCGAGCGCTGACTCTAGCATGTGATGCTGACCAGCTGATTGAAGCGTCTCATTATGCTGTGGACTCCATCCTCCCCAAATGCTCTGAGCTGCGGGCTGTGTGCGAGGAGATCAGCAGCATCCTCAAGGCCAAGAAAGCCTATCTGCTCAAAGCCATGGAGCTACACCAGTGTCTAGAGAAGGTACAGTAGGCCCAGCCATTGATTCCTTCATCAGCACTGTTCAGGAGCCCTCTAAAATGCTCAACAATAGACACTTTCTTTCCTGTGTTGACATTTTTCTTATTGAATCTGGAAGTTGCAGGATGTAAAAAATGGATTGGTAACACTTTATTATAGGGACCAATTCTCACTATTAACTAGTTGCTTATTAGCATGCCCATTATTAACGTATTACAAATACTCTCAAAGCAGTTGTGGCCTAATGGTTAGAGAGTCAGACTTGTAACCCAAAGGTTACGGGTTTGAGTCTCAGGTCCAGCAGGGATTGTAGGTGGGGGGAGTGAATGACCAGTGCTCTCTTCCACCTTCAATACCACGACTGAGGTGAGACCCTTGAGCAAGGCACCAAAATGCTGCCCACTGCTCCGGGTGTGTGTTCACAGTGTGTGTGTGTGTGTGTTTGTTCACTACTCACTGGTATGTGCGTGCACTTGGATAGGTGAAATGCAGAGTACAAATTCCGAGTATGGGTCACCATACTTGGCCACACGTCACATTAGATGTCTGCATTCCCGCAGCTCTCAACCAGATTTTTTGCACCACAGGATTAAATTCCCGAATAAAACGCGGCACTAATTTATTTTTCTCTGCGACACTTTTCCTACTGTGTTAACAGAAAAATGTCAAACGAATTTAGTATTTTGACAAGACGAATAAAAATAGCTAATAGGCTATTTTTGTACAACCTACATTTTTATTTTTTTTCTCTCTATGACACTTTTTCCTATTGTGTTGTAAATGTTAAACGAATTGTATCCTGACAAGACGAATAAAAATAAGAAATAAAATTTTTGTACAACTTTTTTATTTTCTATGACACTTTTTTTCCTACTGTGTTGCATAAAATATTAAACGAATTTTGTGTCTTAAGATAATTCATATAAATTCAAGTCAAAGTCAATAAATTCAAGACTCTTGACAAGACGAATAAAATAACATACAATTTTGTGCAGACTACACTTTTATTTGTCAGCCTATCTCTCTTTCTTTCAGTAGCGGAAATTTAAATGTGAGATTCTGGAAACGAGATCTAAATTTTGCGGAAACAGTCGGTTCGGGAAGAAAATTATTCTAAGCAGACAGTGGGTGAACAAAGAGTGAATATATAGCAGGAGCGGGTGGGTGCGGAATATAACCTTGCGGGAGTGGGACTAAAAAAATAGTCCAGCACAGACCTCTACGTCACATCCTTTCCTTTCCAGACATGGACTAAAAGCCCTCTTTAATGATGATCATTGACTCTTTTTCGTTCTCTTCCAGGCCACTAAATGGTGTGATGATGGGATCTACCTGCTGGCATCTCAACCTGTGGATAAGTGTCAATCACAGGATGGGGCGGAGTCAGCGCTGCAGGAGATTGAGCGTTTCCTGGAAACAGCCAATCAGCACAAGCTAACAGATTTGAGTGGAATTTGGAGGGACTATGAGTCGGTGCTCACACAAGACTTCAGGGTAAAAGACTCAAAACCATTAAAAAACAGAGCTGACATGCTGAGCCATAATACGTTTATAGATTTTTATTTATACACCTATTTACTGTTCATATACATGGAGTTATTGGTCATTTAAAGTGGTCCTATTATGCTCTTTTACAAAGTCTTGATTTTGTTTTGGGGGTGTACTAGAACAGGCTCTCATACTAGGTTGTTCGAAAAACACATTATTTTTCACATATTTTACATTATTACAACACCTCTCTCCCCAGTCTCGCATGAACGGCTCGAATAGTTCCTGTATCAAATGAAGGTCCGCCTTCTGAAATACGAAATGTGCTGTGATTGGTTAGCTGGGCCAGTGTGTATTGTGATTGGCACCACTCGGTGCCTGGTCGGGAAATGTCATGCTCAGCTTCAGTGTAAATATTGCGTCAAAATCAAATCAATTTGAGCAGATTTAAACCCGGATGATCGTAACCACTCTAAGTTCGTCTGCCTTGGGAAAGCTAGCGTGTCTTACGGAGAAGTTGCAATCATTCATCTCTCATTTCCTCGTCGTTGGATCTAAGGCACGGTCAGCGGTCTCTCCCTACTCATACACAGATAAGTGTTGTGAGAGTACCCCTGGGTGCTTCAACGGCGATCTCTAGAAGAGCAAATTTCCTCTAAAAGAGCAATTTCTCTGAAAGAGTTACATGGGTGGAATTTTGTGTTCATCATGCCTTTCTGTCCATGTGTTTCTGGTTGAGGTTGGCACGTCTCGAAAGACGACCGGCACAAGTGCTGTATTCAGTGTTTGGGCCATGCTCACGCTGAGGCAGCGCTTGTGGTTGGTTCGTGCCCTGCTTGCGAGGCACTTCTCATCGGCACGTTGCACTTCGCCAAAAGACCCCGAGTCACCACGGCTGCTTGCGGCTCTGGTCCTTCTACCTCCAGGTATGAGGCTGCAGCGATGTGCGCCGCAGAAGAGCATGGGGAGGAGGGATTAGTTTTGCGGGGGCAATCCCTGCAAGCTTCCCGTTCCTCTCTTGCTTCGTGCTTACCGGTCGAGTTTCTGGATGAGTTTGAGAGCCCGTCGTGAGCAGGACGAGCTGTCAATCACAGCATCGGAGAGCGGGCTTGAGCCATTGGAAGCAGATGACTGCTGAGCAAGTATCTACGGGCGCTGAGTCTCAGTCCGAGGCCGATGCTGAGATGGCAGCCATGCTTGCCCGGGCAGCCAAGAGCATCGGGCTGGAGTGGTCTCCCCCACCCTGCCCGGAGCGCTTGCAGCTGGATGATTGGTTTCTGGGTGCTGAGTGCAACACTAAGCCGCGCCCAGCCCCAGTGCCTTTCTTCCTGGAAATGCACGAGTAACATTGACGAAATCGTGGAAGGCCCCTTTTTCGGCCAGAACACTATACACTGGTTCTTCTGCCCTATACGGTTCCCCAGGTGGAGAGAGCGATTGTAGTGCATCTTTGCCCGTAAAACGCAGCCCCAGACTCCCGTCCAGGGCCTGTAACTTCTCTTCGTCCCTGGTGGCGAAGGCTTATGGACAAGCTGCATCCACCCTGCACGCTATGGCCATCCTGCAGGTCTACCAGGCCAAGGCGTTGAAAGAACTGCATGAGGGTGGTCCTAACCCAGAGGTACTGCAGGAACTGCACACAGCTACTGACTATGCCCTCCGGGCTACGAAGGTCACGGCACAGGCTCTGGGGAGGGCGATGTCCACACTAGTGGTCCAGGAACGCCACCTGTGGCTCAACCTGGCTGAGATGTGGGAAGCCAAGAAATTGCGCTTTCTTGATGCACCCATTTCACAGGTTGGTCTCTTTGGCGAGACCGTGGAAGAATTTGCCCAGGAGTTCTCCACGGTAAAGAAGCAGACAGAGGCCATCAAACACATCTTGCCTCTGGGACTGGGAGTGTGAGGGCTCACTCTACCAGGGGCATGGCTGCATTAGCAGCCCTGTTGAACAGTGCCTCTCTAGCAGATATCTGTAGAGCTGCAGGTTGGGCTACACCTAATACATTTGTTAGATTTTATAATCTACGAATGGAGTCAGTTTCTTCTAGAGTTCTGAACATCAGTTCTTGACTCAGGAGACTGGCAGGGTGTAGGGCTTGCTACCAGCGCTACTCCCCCCAGGGTGGTTATGCGCTTATTCAGTCCAGCTTTCATGAACTCTGGACTACCCTTCCATCACATAAGCACTTTACTTAGCGAAGTTCGGCGGAGGAACTCGCTATTAGAACCCATTCCGAGGTAAGTTCCCTCGAGTATTGGGTTAGTGCTCCACATGTAGCGGCTCCTCTTGCGGCCCCATGTGTGTATTCTCCACTGAGTTGCCCCTGAGGCTCAGTGTTCCCCTAGACAGACATTCAGTCTGTCAACAGGTTCTGGGTTTTGGTAGTTCTGTGGTACTTTCTCTGTAAGTCCATAGGTGGATCCTCACATGTTACCTCCCCATCGGGTAGGATGTGAACTCTGTAGTGCCTTTCCCCCATGGGGGAATAGTCACTGACTCAACGTTCACTACCAAGACTTTTCAGCTGTTATATTATGGTGAGTATTACTATGGGAAAAGGCTCCGGCTGAGGGGACCTCTGCCTCTATGGCGGCTCTGCCGGATGTTGGAGAGTGAGGTCCGCGCCGCGAAAACATAAAACCATGTCTGCATTTGTGATCGGAGAAATGACAAACAACAAGCCCTACTCTACACTGCCCAAAAAACTCACTTTAAATATAAAAACTCTTTAAATATAAAAAAACGTACTTATAGTCCGTGAGTCAGAACAGCCGGCATTGTAGTCTACTCTACCAGGATCAGGAAACGGTCCTCCATATGACCCCTTTAAGTCTTGGGCGTTGGAAGGTTATGAGGAGGAGAGGTGCATTTGGTTGTGACACGCTGGCTTGTCAACATCTGCGCCCCCGTGGACTCGTGACGCAGTTGTGACGTTTAGTATAGGGACCCCTAGTGTCGTACACTCGACACAATGTCGAAGTGAACAACAGAAAGGGAACGTCTCTGTTACGTATGGTAACCCTCGTTCCCTGATGGAGGGAATGAAGACGTTGTGTCCTTCATGCCACAACTCCGAATTGCCTCTGAGTGGGTTGAGATGCTTCTCGACTCCTCAGAACAGAACGAGTGAGCAGATGCCATGCTGGCCTATTTATACCCAGATGTCCGGGGCGTGGCCAGCTATGCAAATTCTGCATACCCAATTTCATTTGCCTTTTCTCAAAGATGTTAGAAGTGTTTGGGCTCCCAAGAGCGAACCCTAGTGTTGTACACTCAACACAACGTCTCCATTCCCTCCATCAGGGAACGAGGGTTACCATACGTAACCAAGACATTCTCTGAGGTCCACTTATAATGTTATCAAGATTTGTACATCCAAAAACATAATTTAAGTTCTTACTGACACAGTCTGGCACTTAATTAAAAATAAAGTTCTTCAAATAAAGTTTATAATTTGATTTCTGCGTAGACCTGCGCATTCGCCTGTATTTACACTATGTGTGCAAATCGGTGGGCAAGGCTAAACAGGCAGTGATATAGAAGCAGGCGTTGATCATCATCTTCTGCGGAGGCGGTGCTTATCCACACTGTTACATCATAAAGTGGCACATTCCACAAGCTGTCATTTTGGCAGATTGGCTTCAATATAAGCTGTTTTTAGACTAATGAGAAAGTTTTGAGTTCTGAAAATTAAAGCATGTTTTTATAGCACAATGACCTCTTACATATCAAAAGATCAAGGGAATTTTGATTTCTCAGTTCATGACCCCTTTAATTAAAGTGTTATTGAGAATGTGAATATTATTAGTCAGATGTCTTGTGTGGTTTTAGTTTGTTAGTGTTAAATGAATGTCTTCTCTGTGCTCAAACAGGATCAGGTGGACAAAGTGTTTCAGAAGCAGCTGTCCATGCAGGAAATGTTTGAGAAGAGGAGGGTCAGTCTGAAGAAGTTAGCAGCCAAACAGACACGACCCGTGCAGCCCGTTGCCCCACGTCCTGAGGCCATCATCAAATCACCCATCTCTTCTCCAGGTTAACCCCCTAAATGTGACTTTTTATGTGTTGTGTTGGATGGCTGGATTAGTTGTGATCCTACTGAATAATACAAACATTTTGGGCCATGTTCACTCAAGTTCAGGACTATTGTGTTCTCAGCTTGAATATCTAAATATCTAAATTATTCAGCAGTTTTAATTCTGAATTAACCCCTAATAAAATGAATATCACATGACTTGTGCATTTTATGCAGAGGCAAACACATTAATACAGCGGTTTTCTACAGAGCAGTTTAGCAGTGGCTTCTCTCCTCTGCAGTGCGGTCCCCTCAATGTCGTCCCCTAACCCCCTCCACACTCATACACACACACTGGCCATTAGCTACTTATGGTCACTCATGCACAACAGATATGGCGGACTCTGTCACTTACTGTATTCTCCTGCCATCTAGTGTTCACAATGGAGAGCTGCAGGGCTCATTGCATGACACAAAAAGCAGTGTAATATATATTTTTTATTAGTTTATTAATATAAGTGTGCTTTTATCCCAGCTCATAGGGAGAAGACGATAGAGGGTGATATCATAAATGGAAACTGCAGAAAAGTAGGTGTCTCATCTCTAGGCAGTGCTTTATTGAACGTATAAGCAATCATATTTATATGACTGCTTTGATATTGATAATTAAAGCAACATTGGTTACATTGTACCTTCAACATATGCATTTTTTGCACTTAAGCTTGTTGTTAATTGATCATAACATGATGAAGCAAATTTTCCTTCTGTTATATTGGTCTCAGGGTCAGAGAGTGTGGAAATGACTATTTTTGTCACAAAGAAAAACTCTTGCAACATTTTTAAGTGGAAAAAAAGAATAGTTTTTTTTTTATTGTTTAATCTTAATTTTTACAGATGATTTTCATATTAACAACCTTATTGGTTATTATTTAAATAATTATTTCACATTTAGAGTTAATTTGAGTGAATTTTGAATGTTGAGCTAAAAATGTTCTGCCAAACCAACTTCTCTATGGTATTTGTGATTTAATTAATTCGTACACATTTTCAAGACACTAATGCAGGGTTGTTTATATTTGCAGGGAGAGATACACTTACAGAATGATGGCAGCAGACACCCGTCTGTCTCTGATGAAGAGGAGAACTTTGCTGTGCTTAGACGGTCAGTCAGGAGCTTATTACAAATGGAGGAAAATCAGCTCTAATTGTGTCTTTCTATATGGATTATGTGTTTAATGTCCGTCCACTACAGGCATGTGATGAACGAGCTGTTGGAGACGGAGCGAGCGTATGTGGAGGAGCTGCTGTGTGTGCTGGAGGTGAGTTGCACTGACATTTTTAACCTCTAGAGGTCAGATTAGTTCTGATTTTTTAATACATTAGACTTGACAGATTAATTTGTGTTTAGGGTTATGGAGCAGAAATGGACAATCCTGCCATGGCTCACCTCATCCCCAATACACTGCTTCACAAGAAGGACATCCTCTTTGGGAATATGCCTGAGATATACCAGTTCCACAAGAAGTGAGTGAACCCCCTGTGTCTGTTTTAGCTTCCGCTTGAGTGGTGTTATAATGCTAAAGCACTTTTTATTCTCTCTATTCACTCTCTGTATATTTCAGGACTTTTCTTCGTGAACTGGAAGCGTACACAGACTATCCTGAGCTTGTGGGCCGGTGTTTCTTGGAGAGAGTGAGTCGGATGTTACATCCTGTGCTGTTCTGATTGAATACATTATTGAATAGATTATGCAAACATAATTTTCCTGTTTCTCAGATGACGGATCTGCAGATCTATGAGAAGTACTGTCAGAACAAGCCTCGCTCCGAGTCTCTATGGAGACAGTGCTCTGACTGCGCTTTCTTCCAGGTCATCTTACTTTACAAGACACTAAAGATGCTGTATTTTATGCTGATACTGTATATTAAGGCTACATTCCACATAAGCACATATTTCTTTCTGTAATTTAAATGGGTCATAGAACCATATGTAGTAAATTAGGAATACAGCATATAGGACCCGATAAACACTACTGTTCAAAAGTTTGGATTCGGTATGATTTCTTTTTTTTTTTTTTTTGTATGTGTGTTTTTGAAAGAAGTCTCTTTTTACTCACTAAGGCTGCATTTATTTGATCTAAAATACAGTAGAAACCGTAATATTGGGAAACATTGTATTACCATTTAAAACAACTGTTTTCTATTTTAATATATTTAAAAATGTACTTTATTCATTTGATATAAAGCTGAATTTTCAGCATCATTACTCCAGTCTTCAGTGTCACATGATCCTTCAGAAATCATTCTAATATGCTGATTTGGTGCTTAAAAGCTTGAAATAGGCTGTTGAAATAGACAGTTTTTGTAAAAATGTAAATGTATTTACTTTAACTTTTACGTCACTTTTGATCATTTTTAATGTGTCCTTGCTAAATTAACACATTAATTTCTTTTAAAAAATGATTTACCGACACCAAAGTTCTGAACATTATTATTATTATAATTATTATTATTGCTATTAATAATAATTATAAGTATTATTTAATAAATATTTACAATACATTTTTATTTAATAAATTTTATAATTTAATAAATATTAATTATAATAGTTTAATAATAATATTTACATAATAATAATAATATTCATTATCATAATAAGATAAAAATCATAGTAAAAAAATAAATAGAGAATTTGTGTGTATTGTTTTCAGGAGTGTCAAAAGAAACTGGAACATAAGCTTGGTTTGGACTCGTACCTGCTCAAACCAGTGCAGAGAATAACCAAATACCAGCTCTTACTGAAGGTAAACTAGACCCAGAGCACATGTGCAGATATATAACTCATGTGTGCACCTCTCACTGATGTAGCCTCTGTGTTCATGTGTGTTACTGTCAGGAACTGCTGAAGTACAGTAAAGGCTGTGAGGGTGAGGATGACCTGCAGGAGGCGCTCTCATCTATTCTGGGCATCCTGAAAGCTGTGAATGACTCCATGCACCTTATCGCCATCACTGGATATGAAGTAAGGATGTCATTTACACACGTTGTGAAGTTTAATGTTCACTTTGAATTAAAATGGTTTCCAATAATGTAAGTCGCCTTTGGAGTAGCTGTTGACCTCTGACCTGTGCTTCCAGGGCAACCTCAGTGATCTGGGACGTCTGATGATGCAGGGGTCGTTCAGCGTGTGGACGGAGCATAAGAAGGGTCACGCGAAGGTGAAAGACCTGGCTCGCTTCAAGCCCATGCAGAGACACCTGTTCCTGCATGAGAAAGCTCTGCTCTTCTGTAAGAAACGAGAGGAGAACGGAGAGGGTTATGAGAAAGCGCCTTCATACAGCTTCAAACACTCACTCAGTGTAAGTACTGAATACTAAAGTAGTTTAGTATTTCTCTGACATGGAAATCGGTCCACTTCTTTAAGACGATGTGGCGGAGTGCTTAAAAATGTGGGCTGGTAACTGAAAATTTAAATCCCACCCCCCCAAATCACTTTACAATCCTAAATCAGTTTCTTTATCAAAACTGTTCTATTACAAATATTAACAAGGAATAATTGATCATTTTAGTGTGGTATAACCCAGAAAAACAAGAAATGAAATCTGCATGTTTAATTTGTGTTTTGTCTTGAGTAAGTTAAGTTCCATTCAAGGTAAACAGATATATTTGCATGTAAATAAATGACAGGGAATATCAGGTTCCTGTTTAAGTCAGATTATTTTTATTTATATTTTCCTCTGACAGATGAGTGCTGTAGGTATTACTGAAAATGCAAAAGGAGACAACAAAAAGTTTGAGATCTGGTGTAATTCTCGAGAGGAGGTGTACATTGTACAGGTAAACTTAAAAATTGTCCTTATTAAAAAAATCCTATATTTAAATAGCATTGAATGTACATAATTTAAAGCAACACTCTGTGATCCTGTCACTTGCCTTTCTGAGCATTTTATTGGTTATTTTCAGGCGTCGACACCAGAGATCAAAACAGCATGGGTGAACGAGATCCGGAAGGTTCTAACGGGGCAACTAAAGGCCTACAGAGGTGAAATAAATAGCTTTTGTTTCTTTATTGAGCTAAATTATTACTTTCATTTAGCAAGGATGCATTAAATTGATCAGTAGTAACAATAAATACATTCATAATGTTACAAAAATTTTCTATTTTTAATAAGTGCTGTTCTTAATCAAAGAATCCTTTGTAAAAGTATCATGGTTTCCAAAAAAAAAAGCTTCACAGCTGTTTTCAACATTGATAAAAATAAGAAATGACTTATGAAGGATCATGTGACACTGAAAACTGGAGTAATGTTGTTAATTCAGCTTTGCCATACAGTTTTGCCGTATAAGGACATTTTTTTTTTATATATTAAAATAGTTATTTTAAATTGTACTAATATTTCACAATATTACTGTTTTAATATTTCACAATATTACTTACTGTCTAACTGATCAAATAAATGCAGCCTTGCTGAGCAAAAGACACTTTCAAAAACCAAAAAAAAAATTATCCCTCTCAAACCTTTGAACAGTAGTGCATATAAAATGACACCCTTCACATCAGTTTTATTGTGTGTGTGGTTATCTAAATCATGTGATGTTGTATTTCAGAAGCACGGCAGCAGAAGAGCTCGGATCAGATCTCACAGTTAACTCCCACCAGCACCAGCCTAACCCTGAGCCCCTTCAAGACCAACCCAAAGACCCTCAAGAAAGGAGAAGAGAAGAAAACTGAACCCACAGCAGCAGATCCCAGTACAGCTGTCTCACTTAAAAATAACGACAAGGTCAAAGGTCAGTCAGCCCTTCTCAACATACACATATATGGTCTCACTACACACTCTATGGTCAAAACATTTTCAAAAGCCATCTTTCTGATATTACACAGGAAATATATGACATCAGTCAGTCAGTGAAAACAACCCCAAACTAACGTGTCCCAAAATCTGTCCCACTATTCAGAATGCTGCTATCTTTCCTCTTGCTGCTTGGACTGTGAATTTCTCTGATGTTCTTTGTAACCCCTGTGTTTCTTTTTCCTGACTAAACCTGTAACGTCCTTCATTATTTCCCCTTCCTCTTTCTTTCTCTCTGTCTCTGTGGAGAATAGACGAGACTGTCACCAGTCCCAACACTGAGAGAGCTGCAGTGGCTAAAAAGCGTTTTACACTGCAGGGCTTCAGTAACCTCAAGAGTCAAAAAGGTACAACAGGAGGGCTCACAGCTTTACACAAGAATGTATCATACTTTTAAAACAGGGTGACTGCATACTGATGAAACATTTATATAAAAGAAAGCTTAACATAACTTTAATAGTTGAAATGTGACCCTGGACCACAAAACCAGTCTTAAGTCGCTGGGGTATATTTTTAGCAATAGCCAAAAAAAAAAACATTGTATGGGTCAAAATTATCGATTTTTCTTTTATGCCAAAATTCATTAGGATATTAAGTAAAGATCATGTTCCATGAAGATTTTTTTGTAAATTTCCTACCGTAAATATATCAAAGCTTAATTTTTGATTAGTAATATGCATTGCTAAGAACTTCATTTTGACAACTTTAAAGGTGATTTTCTCAGTATTTAGATTTGTTTGCACCCTCAGATTCCAGATTTTAAAATAGTTGTATCTCGACCAAATATTGTCCTATCCTAACAAACCATACATCAATGGAAAGCTTATTTATTCAGCTTTCAGATGATGTATAAATCTCAATTTCGAAAAATTTACCCTTATGACTGGTTTTGTGGTCCAGGGTCACAAATGTTTAGTTAAAAATATTTGGTCAACACAAATTTCAGAGGCATTATATAAATTGTGAAGATTTAATTTGGAATATTCACTAATATTTGGCTTGAACCCCACTGCAGAACCGATAGCCCCCTCTGGTGGCAAAAGCCTAACACTACCCATGGTCGCTCTCTGCCCTCCAGGTATACTGTAGTCTCAGAAAACACTAGACTCTAGTGTAGATCAGAAAGTCTAGATTAGCAGCAGTTTAACATCAGAGTTTAAGCTTGGTAGTATTACAATTTAGATCAATCACCACTTAAGAGCTATTCACTGTGCCTTAACCAGGTGTGACATAACTTATTTCCAGGAACAATAATGTGTTCACACCAAAACCGAAAATGCTAGCCTTTTATTTACTTACTTGCTTACTCCCATAACTATGTGTTTCTTTAATATATGGTTATAAGAGTGGGATTTTGGATCAGGTCAATTTCTGAAAACCATTATCGCGTTTTATCGCATTGCAGATAGTTAAGGCACAGTGTAAGACTTTAGTGGACATGGTTGCTGTAAAGGCTTTCACCCTGCAAAAGAGCCACTTTTTTCTTTATAATATTTAAGAATCTTTCCTTTAACCCTGTTAAAGACTTTCTCTTCCTTCTTTCCTGATTTTTTGTTCTCGCTCCTTGCTATGGCTGCCAGGATCATCCCCCCCTAGTCCTGACCACAAAACTAAAAGACATGAGATTAAGAGTGATCCTACACCGTTTGGCTTTAGAGGTACACTGTCCCCTGAAAACTCCCAGCATTCCCTCCTCCAACATCAGCCATGACCAGTGTTCCAAAATATTTATTTTATCATATTATGTGGTTGCCAAATTTTATTTCACCTCCATATATTATGTTTCACCATCTTTCATACATCAGCCTAAAGTAATTGAAACTAAAATGCTTCTATATTAGGTGTTAAAGGGATAGTTCACCCATAAATGATCATTCTGTCATTGTGTATTCATCTTCATGTCATCCCAAACCTGAGATGAGTTTGTTTTTTCTGCTGAACACAAAAGAAGATATTTTGAAGAATGTTGATAACCAAGCGTTTTCATTTCCCATTGACTTCCATTGTATTTCTGTCCATGCAATGAAAGTCAGTGAGAATTGAAACTGTTTAATTACCAACATTTTAAAAAAAATATCATCTTTTGTGTTCCACAGAAAAAAGAAAGTCGTACAGGTTTAGAACAACATGAAGGTGAATAAATGATGACAGAATTTTCATTATTGGGTGGACTGTCCTTTTAAGCATTTACAATCCAAACAAAATGACTTGTGCTGTACACCCAACCAACAATCTGTGGGGTGGTTGGTAAATCGATGGAGTCTTTGAAATCTTATCGGCTGCCTCTCCCTTAGACGCAGGTCCCCACATCACTCTTACCCGAGTGAGATGGCTGAGCACTTCTAGTCTGTTGCAGACTAAAAGGAGAGGTAACTAGATGCCTGGTGTGGGAATGAACTTTGTCTTTATTGCTCTCTCACTGCGAACTTCCGAACAGACTGGCAAACACTAACCACAGGGTATGATATTATTGCACTGTAATTGGTGGTTTGCAGAATAAATCACGGCGCTAAAATGGCATCACTTTGACATAACTGCTCAATAAATTACTACTGTCGATCTGAAATGCTCTTTACTGTGGGAGAATGTGAAACCAGCCTAGTTCATATCTTATAATTGTTACAGCAGAGAGAATGATCAGGTAATCTCTTAAAGGAATAGTTGAAACCATTATAATAGTATGAACACTGAAAATCAATCTTTATTTACTCACACTCGTGTTCTTCCAAACCTGTATGACTTTCTTTCTTCTGTGGAACACAAAAGGAGACATTTTCCACAATTTACTGGTTGCTGTTTTCCATGCGTTTGCATTGAATTGGAGACTAAAGCATTCAGCCTTCTTTTTGCACTGTAATTGGTGGTTTGCAGAATAAATCACGGCGCTAAAATGGCATCACTTTTACATAACTGCTCAATAAATTACTACTGTCGATCTGAAATGCTCTTTACTGTGGGAGAATGTGAAACCAGCCTAGTTCATATCTTGTAATTGTTACAGCAGAGAGAATGATCAGGTAATCTCTTAAAGGAATAGTTGAAACCATTATAATAGTATGAACACTGAAAATCAATCTTTATTTACTCACACTCGTGTTCTTCCAAACCTGTATGACTTTCTTTCTTCTGTGGAACACAAAAGGAGACATTTTCCACAATTTACTGGTTGCTGTTTTCCATGCGTTTGCATTGAATTGGAGACTAAAGCATTCAGCCTTCAAAGAAGAAGTAAAAGCGCCATGAAAGTATCACAGAAGTGGTTGTTATCCTGATTCAGTGAATTGAACTTGAGTCATGAATGAATCAGACTGGTTTGTGAACCAAATCAGTCACTTCATTTGAAAAGATCCAACTCAAAAGAATGATTCATTTACAAATTGGACTGATAACTGCAATATTTCTCTAAAAAGTCTCAAGATTTTAAGTGAATACGAAGTCTCGACCTGTTCCTCATACAAAGCTCTTTAGGAGATTTTTGCATTTACGTTATACTTTTTCACCCCTTTTGAAATTTGAAAGCTTCGGTTCCCGTTTGTAGTAACTGCATGGAAAACATTGCGTGGAAAAGTCTTTTGTTTCCACAAAACAAAAAGTCATACAGGTTTGGAACAACATGAGGGCTAGTAAATAAAGACAAGTTTCATTCCCTTTAAATACAGTATACAGTCAATTTATGCTAATACTTTAATACTGTACATTTACAAACCAGAATTTGTCAATTTGTGCAAGAATTTCAACTTGCACTTCCCTTCGTGTGAAAACACTTGCGTTTAACGCTGCATGAGTGTCTGGTTTGGGTTCCTGTCTGCTGGTTTGCGGTGCTAGTTCTGGATTCACTTTTACGATTCTGAAACCACAGATCCCTTTCTGCCAAACACTCTTCCAGGCTCCATAATTATCCACTGATTCAGACCTAAAAACGTTTATGTATCTCTCCATAAACATGTTTTGTATGATTTGCGAATGTGTCATATTCACAAACTGTCATCAAAATCATCGGCGTCATGGCTGTCTGAACATAAAACACAAACAGCTCTTCCTGTTATATCAGTGCCTGGAGCTGTTCCTCTTTTCAAATAGATACGAGAGAAAGAGACACTGGATTTGTTTCAAAACTTAGTGTGCTGCCTGCATAGGCGTCATATGCACACTCCCAATGCAAAGTCTCAATGAAAACATCTAAGATGGTGATTTGGGTCGAAAGTAATGTTGACTAAACTGTAAAAAATTCTATTTCACTCTTTCTGCTACAAAGTTTTACATTTATTTCAGTGTTACTTCCTATTTCTTTCTATTTGATTCCAAAATTTACTAGCAATTTCTGAGTGAAAATTGTGTCTGTTATGTTTTTTTTTTTAATGCTGTTGTGTTGTTAGCTTAGCAACATGCTAATGCCAGACTCTTTTGAAATCCAAGAATTTTACTTCAGGAACTTAATGTTTAGCATGCTGCCTTAGAAGACAGCCGACTTAAAGCTCACTAAGTTTTGAAACAGAGCCGGTCTCTTCTTCACCTTCCACACACACTATCTTTGTGGAGCACCACTTATCCCTCTCTTTCGTTGTCTCACCATGAGCCAAATGTCACGATTGTTTCTCACTCATCCTCTCTTCCACAAGGCTTCTCCAAGGCATCGCTGTCTGTGGACGCGTCTGAGGAGAACGACGGTTACTCGAGTGCCGAGGATCCCATGAACTCTGATCCTGAGGATGAGGGAGGGAAAAAGCTGGTGAGTCAGTGTGACCCAGCGTCACGATTTCTTGAGTCCCATCCATGTTTGTTTACAGATATCTTTAGTTTGGCCACTGACGGTGTTTGTGTGTGCGTGCAGTCTCCAGGCAGGTACGTGGTAGTTGCTGACCATGACAAAAACGGACCACAGGAGCTGACGGTTAAGAGCGGAGACTCAGTGCAGCTGGTGAGAGAGGGAGACGATGGACGCTGGTAAGATTCTCACATTCAGGTTTATGTAAATACTATGACAATTCTGTCATCGTTTACTCATCCTCATGTTACACATTGCAAACCACTATGACTCACAAGCTGATCATTCTTTTGTGGTTTTCAATGAATCAACAATTGAAATCAATGAATCTTTTTTCTGTTTAATCAGTTAATAGAAAATAAATGCTCAATCTAAACAATTATGACTGTCCTGTATCAGTGTTTTAGTATTATTTATATACTATAGTTTTCATTAATATTTTTGATTTGCTTTTATTTTTATATTTTCATTTTTTTTAATTCATTTTGACTTTTTTTTGTTTAAATATTACTATTAAGGTTTAATTTACTTTTATTTCAGTCTTAGCTTTTTTTTGTAAATTTCCAGTTAGAAATTTTTGTGCTTTAACTTAAACTTATTTCAGTTAGTTGACAAAGCAACGTTTCTCGTTTTATTTTAAAGTTTTTCATCTAATATTTATAATTTAGTTTATTTCAGCTTCATTTATTTTTAGTTTTTTAATTAAGGACAGTACCTGTTACCTATTAAACTGTGATTTTCGATCATTTTGACTATTAGATATTTCTGCTGTAATTATGACAAAACAGCTTATTTATCTTATATATATATTTAAAGGGGTCATATGATGCGATTTCAATTTTTCCTTTCTCTTTGGAGTGTTACAAGCTCTTGGTGCATAAAGAAGATCTGTAAAGTTGCAAAGACTAAAGTCTCAAATCCAAAGAGATATTCTTTATAAAAGTTAAGATTCAGCCACGCCTACTCACATGGTTGATTTAGTAATATACTGAATGAATCGACCATGATTCATCTTGTGATTCCAGATGATATGTTCTGCATTCCAGAACTTTGGTTCTTCAGTAACATCAGTAGTTATTGATGGCAAATGAAAATTATTTGTTTTCAATCTTGATTTTATGTGTTTTTTAGCATTTAGTTTATATAGGTAGATTATTTTAATATATTAATTTTAAGTCATCTTGTGGCCCCCTCAAACTGTTTTTGTGTTGTTGTTGTTTTTTGCCCACAATTATTTTAACATCTAGATCCATTTTGGCATTTTGAGTCTTGTATCCTGTTATGAATGAAAAGTAAATTTCACTCGTACATTATTGTCTGGGCTCATTTTTTTGTTTGTTTTTATAAGACGACCGAATAAGAATCACATAATGTTTTCTGTAAGCAGAGGCTGGTGTGATATCAATGTTTTTGTGCTGATTCAGGTTTGTACGTAATCTGCGGACCAATAAGGAGGGCTGGGTCCCTGCTGCAAACCTGCTCACTCTCATCGGAGAATCCAAATCTTCTCAATCCCTCTCCAGCTCAGGTAACACAACTTCCCACTTTCCTTCCACCACACTACAAATCCCTGTCATGAAATCTTCATTTTATGAACGAATGTTTTCCCACAGAAGGCAGTGGGTCTGGAAACCTCAGCACATCCTCCAGCTGCAGTGAAACCTACACAAGCTTCTCAGACATCAAAGCCTGAAGCTGCTGCTCCACTGCCTTGTGGCAGCTCCTACACAGTGCGCTTTCTACTGAAGCTCCTCGAGTCTTTGTACTGTATTTAACCTCGTCACCCGAGAAAGGAATTGACCTCTGCGGTCAATATGCGCTATTCAGGATATTTTATATAGAGCGTCACACTTTCGCAACCTTCTCTCCTTCATAAGAGAGAGGAAAAAGGTCATTCAGTGTCTGCTGTTCCCCGTGGAAATTCTCCTTTACTTTGAAAGTATCAGTGTGATGCTGTTTGTTTCACGTCTGCATGCATTTCCTCAAAGATTAAAAGAGAAAAGGGCTCTTGGTAGAGTCGGCATTAACATCAGAGCAGCCTGCGGTTTTAAAAGTCTTTAAATATACATAAAAAGGACTCTCATTGGATTTTAATGTATGACCACATGAGCTTCCACTGGTTTTATTGATCTTGCGCTGAGAATATCAGTGTCTTTTTGGAATGTCTGACTTTGTTGGCGTCTAAAGCTTCTGTCTGATTTGCTGTAGCAGCAAGACAATGAAATGATGTTTTATACAATAAAGATTATTGAGGTTATGCCTGCTGAAAAGTCCTGTTATTCACTGTATGTATTAATCTAAAACAGCTGTATAGTTTAAATTATTTCCTGTAAATTATTTCCTGTAAAAGAAGATTTGTACAGATAACTTTTATCTCATGTTTTTCATTAAAACAGTATATATATATACATATTGTATATTATGACCACTATTGTTGTGTGTCAATGAAATGTATTTCATTGTATTTTGTTGTATTTGTCACTTTACTGTTCTGCACCATTCATGTACAATTATTGCAATTGAAAGAAAAAAACGTACCAATTGTGTTCACATTTTATGTAATTTATTTTGTCACCACAGATTGTTTGATTTGGTTCGTTCAAAATGTCATGTCTGGAAAGTGATAATTGGCATGTTGTAACTATCAGCTTTTGTAAGACTCATTTTAATGTCGAATAAGTATTTCTCACAGCTTGACAATGTTCATCTATATCAACATTCTTCAAATCAGCTGATTCAATCAAGCCATAATTTCTGACAAGTTTGATGACCACAGCCTTACTGTGCTTAAATGTTCATGTCCCCATAACTATATGTTGTCTTTTTAACATGTTCAGTAATACAAAAATCATTGTTCATTTCTATTTCAATTTTATGTGGCACATTGCTGCATGTTAGTTTTGCCTCTCAATCTTTTCCTGTATTAGACGCGTATCTGTGTACATGTGTAAATATGTATCTAAGAGGATGAGATGAATGAATTTAAAGTGCTTAGGCTTAAATAAACTTCACTGAAACATTCTATCTATCCTCTTTTGTCTGCTCAGGTTTGTCAAGGAAATGTCTACTCCCCCCCTCCCCCCCCCTCCTATTTCTCTTAATTTCTGCTTTAAAGATGACCTTTAAATTAAATGTGGTAAATTCGATCTTGCATGCATCAGCTCTTTTCATTGTGCACCACAAAAAAAACTTTATAATTTAAAAAAATAATTTTTCTGGTTTATACATTTTTCATTACATGTGTTGGTGATAAAAGACAATTAGGGAACCTTTTGTGTTAGAATTTCATTTTGATAAAAAAAAAATATATATATATATATTTATAACAATTATGGAATGATATTAAAACTATACAAGAAAAAAAAATAGTGCTGTCATATTATTAATCGCATCCAAAATAATTAATTGTTTACGTGATATATGTGTGTGCTGTTTATTTTTTATTATGTATATATAAATACACACACATGCATGCATATATATAGCCTATAGA